AATTTTAGAATCTATTCAGATCTGCAATGTGTATCTTACAAAACTTTGCATCCCTCTGAAAGTATACAGTTAAATACTAGTTGAGACAGATACAGGGTTTAAATAAAACATATTTTCTCTAACATCTTCTTAATTTCAACTTAGTATATAGGAAAGCAGAAATATTTTCTATACAGTTTTCCCATAGGAACCTAAGCTTCATGAACACCTGGAAATATAATAATTGGTACCTTAATTTTAAGTAATTAACATATGATTTAATTTAGTTGACCTTCAAATGCACAATTACTTTTATTAAGTTGTAATGAATTAAAATTAGTATATTATGCAGAAGGAGTACATAATGTGACAGATACTATTATTTTCCCTCTGTATAGTTAAATCAGGACATGGAGGAACTGATAATGAAGGTGACTGCTAATGTGATGCAAAAGCTTTCTCCTCGAGGTCATATATTTAAAAGGGCTATGGACAGTAATAATAAATGTCAGTTTTAAATCTGGAAAGGACCTGTATCAGCCAGTCATGTAAGTTGGGGCCACAACTCTCTGAATTTTCAGCCATTATGTTGTCACCCTTAACGTACCTAGACAAAAGCAGATGGAGGATGGCTGTCCTCAATACAGTGTCATGTATGTGACATTTATATATAAAAAATCCTTTTTATGCATGAAACAAGTGCTAGTAATTTCAACAGGAACCAGACTGTGCCACATCATCCTGGTGAAGCTGTTTTTGTTTGCAGAACTGCAGTCAGTTGCTAATTGCTTGCCCCTGCATGCTTTGAAACCTCTTTTTATTTTCGGATCCAGAACACTGTACAACTATCTATCTCAAAAATGGTTATATCATGTGTATTAAAACATGAAAATAAATAGGTTATTTGCATGCACTAATTTGCATGGAGTGAGAAAGATTACATTTCATTTTGAGCTGTCATTCAGTTTGGGATATTTTTAAATATGCGAGTCCATTATTCTTTCTAATTTTCTACTTTAAATCTATATTTCACTTCAAAGAAAAAGATGGGATTTTTTATGATCCACTGACAGTATGAAAGCTCATCTCAAAAACCAATGATGTACAATTGTACATACATGAAAATATTCAGTCATAAATTCTGTAATAGTTTGAAAACATTGAAATATTAGTGGTTGAGAGTGACTCATTTTAACTGCTAAATCTTTATAGGGTACTATATTATTATTGATAATCAAAGCTTAAATTAATCTTAAATAAGTGCCTTTCTTCTCTTAAATTGGCCCTAAAATGTTACCCCCCCCCCTCTCTCTCTCTCTCTGTGTGTGTGTGTTTTCATAACAAATTTCATAATTCGTTCATTAATACTACGGGTTTAACTTTGTGCTGAAGAAAACTCTTGAACCAGAATTTGTCTGTTGGAGATGAGCCTGAGTGGACTGGGAGAAATTACAGAGCAACTGGGATTTTCTTGGGAAAAGACAAGCCAAGTAAAGCAAGGCCAGATGGTAGATTTGAACATTACAAGACTAATCTCAAGTATAGGACAAAGAAACCAAACAAGTTGCAGAGACTGCAAGGTAACATATTTCTGGTGGAAGCAATATACTGGCCTGGGACAGAGGGAAATAGTCTGAATAAATATGAACTTATTTACAAACACTACCTCATTTAAAGGTTTAATAGACATGAGGTGTCCCTGTTCAGATTCCATGTAACAATTAAGAAAAAAAGATCAGGTGTAAAGTCACATTAAGCATAGCAGCAACTCATAAATGGCAGAGTGGTATATACCATATTCATTAGTTTCTTCTTTGTTTGATTGTGGTATAAATGGAAATATAGAAAGAGTGAAAGAGTGTTGACTGCTCTTCTATATTTAGAATTAAATGACACCAAAAGTATCAATTTTGTCCTAATAAACCAACAGCATCTCTGAAAAATTGTGTTGCTGTGACTGAAGGCATGCCCATGTTCTACGAATAATGCCATCATGTGCATATACAAAAGATAAAAGCCTTTGATTGCAAACTGTACTCTCCATTTTGTGGACTTTGACTCTCCTGGGGATGTCCATGTACCATACTGAGGTAATTTACTTATTGGGCAACGTATCAGTGTCAAGCACAGAAAGAAACTATAAAAAAACATTGCTGAATTGCTAACTTGGAATGGAAGATGATGATGAGGCATCTCTCTCTCTGTTTGTATTAGTCTCCCTCTCTCTGTGTATTTTTAAAAACTAGAAAGTCTTCCAGTTGGAAAAATGCCATTTAAGTGTCTCCCCACCCCTGTGAAATTACTTAGTCTGTATCCCAAAGATGGATGGATCAAAGTAAGCAGATAGAGAAATGTTATAAAAACTATTCTGCTGATTAGCTCCTTACTAATCAAACTAGTTTTTTTCTGCTGCTTCCTCCAAGGAAGTCCTACCAGGTTCTTCAACAAACAGATAAGGAGCCTACAGCCTCTCCTTTTCAATGTAAATGACCTGTCCATTCTTGCTATCAATGTAATTAAGCCTTTGCTTTCCCTGCTCAGGTTACTTCTATCTTGCTTCCTATTCCCATCAATAGACTTATTGCATGCAGCTTGGGGCACAAGAAAGGCTCCTTGTTCCCCCATCAGACATGATTTTACTGATATGAATGCACAAATGCCAATCTCATGACCAATCCCCCTGGCATTCTGAGAGGGGACTTCTCTTCCTCCATCCAAGGTTGGTTCTAGGTGGTATGATGGAAGCTCAAGTTCCAGCTCAAGGCCTCTGTTTTGTGGGGTGCCACAGGACTCAACTCTTCCCCTACTCTTATTTAACATCTGTACAAACCACTGGGTAGGGTTATCTGCAGCACAGGACAGGGTTAACTGTCAATAGTATGTTGATAAAACTCAGCTATACATAATATGTCTGCCCTGAACCATCAAAGTGATGCTACTGAAGTGCTTTCTCAGTACATGGAGGCTGTATAGACCAAAACTAGAAAGAATTGGCTTTGGCTCATCCCTGATGAGACTGAAAAGCTGTGGGTTTTAGGGTCTCTGGCACCTAGTGATTGGATATCATTTAACTCTGGATGGAACTCCCACTCCCCATAGAAGAAGTGGTACACAATCTGGAGATTATCTTACTCATGGGTCCCACTTGGGCTGGTGGTTGCCATGGCTAGCAAGACTTTTCCATAGTTACATCCTGTGCACTAGTTAGGCCCATTCCTAGATCAAGAAGCATTACTCACAGTCATCTGTGCCTTAGTAATCTTTCAACTGCACTAATATACCAGACTACCCTTGAACGGCATTCAGATATTTCAATTATTCAGCTATTCCAAAACACAGCAGCATATGCAGAATGCCATGATATACTCCATATAACACTCCTAGTTAGCTTCTAGGTGCAATTCAAAATATTGGTTTTCCTCTTTAAAGCCCCCACATGTCACGGGGTGAGATCTTGTGGCATTACCTATTCCTGATGGGGGGGGTTTTCTTCCCTACTTGATCTTGCAGAGCAGGAGTTCTCCAAGTCCCATTGATAAAACTGTTAACTGATGGCCCCCACAAACAATTCTGTCAGCCCTACTATGCAGAACAAGCCAAGAAACCAGTTCTACATGATGATTAAAACTATGTTTATTATTATTGGTTAGAGCAACAGAATCTTGCAAGATTGTGCTTTCCTCCCATTCCTTATACTTATGTGACTTCAGGAGGTGTCAAACTGAGCTTTGTGCACATGCCTTCTTCTTGTTTTGGATTTAAGTCACACTTCTCCTGTTGTGTTGGTAATGGATATGGTATGTTGTTGTTAAAATAACCTTCTTTACTTTCTATATGTGATTGAACTGTCATGATGCCGGCCTTATGAACAGCATACCCCTAAGATACGGACAGCCCCAAACTTATTGGTTTTGCAGAAAGTTCCAAAACTGGGGCCTGGATTGTTGATGGAGCTCTGGCATGGATGTAATTTTGTTTGACACTGATAATATAATTTTTAGGTGACTTGATCCAGTTTCTTTTGAATCATAATCATTGATTATGTTTTATTTGTGCTCACTGTCCAGACTTCCTTGGGAAAATGGGCAGCTATACAAATGTAATAAATCAATATATTATACCATATAATGCATTAATTTTCCACTGAGCTTGCATGAATGCTGTATGCTGACACAGAAAGACCCTGCTTTGAATTATTCACAGCTACAATTTTTAAAATTGTGTTCCATGCTCATCACTGAGGGATCCAGAAGAATGAAAAAGAAGCATTACCAATTAATGCAGTGATGCCATGCAAGAACAGTACGATTCTGTACTTCATTTCTTGTTGAAAGATGAGCAACCCAAGAGGGTAAAACTCAGTTGGAAAGATTAAATTAGGTATCGGCTCTCTGTTTTCTCAACTTGCCATCATTTGCTCCCCTTACTCCTTGATTTTTAAGTATTAATCAAAAACTCAAGCACTTCTAAAAACAACCTGCCTAGAAAAACTGCAGGTACTTATCCATGTAATCTCTAGGAATCAAAACTACAAAAAAAAACAAAAAAAACCCCCAACCCCAGCAAACACACAAAAAAGATCAGAGTGCCTAGCACAGTTTATCATAAATGAAGAGGACCTTTTCTCAGTTCTGCCTTGGATAGTCAATCTTGTTTTCTTTCCTTTTGGACCACACTGCAGCAGACCGGATCAAATGCTGCTGTCATAGAAGCAAGCATACATTTATGCATGTGAGCATTCCCACAGATATGTGTCTCACAGTTCTCTGTGACCCACAAGATATTTTTATGGGAAATCTATAATAACTGCAGCTGAAAATGCATGCCATCGATCCCCACTGGCAACTATGATGCCAAGTGGTTCATTAAAAAGGCTTTTCTAAAAGATATCCCAGAAGTACTTATCTGACATCTGGCCTTTAAAGCTTGAGTGTGGGTTTTCGTAGGCTTAACAGAAAATATTGCTTCTTAAAATCTCCTTTGAGGATTTGGTTTTTCTTAGCCAGTTTCGTGATCGGTACCTTTTTCCTCACCCAGGTTCTCTCCTCCATCTGCTGGGCTGCTTGGAATTGTAGATACTGCCTCATCTGTTTTGAAAAGAAAGAAATTATAGATATTAGGATATAATTTGAATGCAGTAATGATTGTAAATGGTTACACCTGCACTGAAATATATAGGTTATGCATTTCATTAGCTGAAATCTCCTTTTCTTTTCTTTCATGGAACAATAATCAGAGTGAGATTTGTAAACACACTCAATTTCCATACAGGTTTAAATGGTTGGGGGCACAGGGTACCAATTTTTTGTATAATTGAATTTGAAGTTCTACTTAGAGTCATTCTACTTTATACTATCCTTGACTGAATATTCAGCTTTACCCTTTTTTTGACTGTGAATAATGGCAAACTCTTTTTCATTCTGCCCATTCTGCCATTTATTCACCCTTCTGTTTTGTTTCGTTTTTTTTCACAGAGGAAAAACAGTTTGCAGAAAGCATTTTATGTTGCAATAACAACATTACTCCTTCCTATAATGATCTTTGGTCTTAAAGGCCAACTTTTGCAGTTGCAATTTACCAAAGAAAACAGCAAGCATCTGAGATGGGGGAGGATATGAAGTTGTATGGAACATTAACTCTGCCTCTAATTCTATGTATGTGTGTGTGTGTGTCTGTGTGTGCATGTATATGTGTAAGTATATGTATATATGTATCTATGTGTAAACCTTTCAGGCAAAAGTGTATAAAAAAGTTTAAGGCAAAATAATAATAGTATTATTACTATATAATATAAAATATAATAATAGTAGTAGTAATAGTAGTAGTAATAACAGTGTGCAATCTTTTGCTAAAGTCCTTGCTCACTGGGAAGAAACCAAATCTCAAACATAGATTTCATAAAAAAAACCACTATAAGATAATTAGTATTTTGAAAAATGGCATCTTCTGACTAAATAGAATCATTGTAATACTCAAAGAAAAGAATCAAGTATTTTTTGGGCACCAGATGTCCATGGTAGCAGATTATGTTGGGCAGATTAAAGAAATATGGCTAAATATGTCCTAAAACAGTTTAGTGCCTCATGTAAATGTTTCTTAAATGTTAGCAAAATATTCCTGGTTGGGCAGGAGAAAAGGCCTCAATGGGTCTTCCAAAGGATAGCTATCTCACAGGGGCAGATTCATCTAATCTACATTTCTATAGGAGAGGAAGGAGATCTGAGGCAGAAAGTTTAAATCTTCCTCTTACATTACGTAACCTGAAGATAAAGCAATCAAGAAAACAGATCTTAGACACATGGCCATACTTCCAATTTGTCCATATTTTAACATGATGTGGTTTTTTTTTTCCTCAACAGCAGTCTCAATGAAACTAAAGTGCGTGACTGCGCATGTGCAGATGCTGGCCAAGAAAACACTGAGGAACAATTAGAAAAGTCGGGTGGACAGAAAAAGCCCACCTGCCTCTGAAAGCCTCAAGACAGCCTTGTGCTTATGAATGAACAGCTGAACAATTGGAGCCAGTGGAATTATTTTGCAGAATGGGCGCAGGGATTTGGACATAGTGCTTCTCCTCCAGACTGTAACAAGAGAACGGGGATGAAGGGCATTTTGCTGTAACATATATTCAACTCTTTGGAAATAGCCACAATGCAGTATACACAGATCGAATGGCTGAATAATGTAGGATGGATAGCTTGGCTGCTTTGCTCTATTGCACTGAGTGATTGGGCCTTCCCTGCTGTAGCTCTCAGGTATTAATAAAAGTTTTCCAACCTGATAGAAACAGTTTCTGTAAAAGATGAGTTGTGCTACTTGAAGTAAATATGTGCGAGCTACAGAATATAAGCCATTAAATCATATGATGTATGGAAAGCAGAAGAATTCCTTCTGACTATATGATACAACCTTTCTCTATTTCTGTTCAGTTTTAAAAATGCAGTTTCAATCACAGATATATATTGTATTCAGATTTTTTTTATGAATTTCAACATTTATTTTCAAGGGTTGTATTTGCATACCCTGGCTCTTTCTTCCTCAAAAGCCAGTAATCCAATTTGTAACTACTGTGTAGAAAAGCAGTTATTCAGAAGCTAAATCAACAGAATAAATGCATCACAGTGCAGGTTTATTCCCAGTCAAAGAGGTCCTTCATCTCTTCAAGCTATTTTCTACACATTCTTCCCTTCCTTTGATGTCTGAACTTTATACCTTGCTGCTGTAAACACTTTCTACTGAAGAGGTTTCTAGGATCTCCTCCACCTTAGCAGAATATGCTGTCAATTACTAACAGGAAACCCTACATTCCGGGGCTGGAAGGAATGCATTCACTCATAATGAATAGAGCTCTGGGCTCCAATGGGAAAGCTGCACAAGCCCTGACTTAATCCTGTGGAAATGTACAAACGTTGTCAGTCAATAGCATCGATTCAGATTATTGCTCACCAAGGTTCAGAAAGCCTGGCTGATAGAACACTTTAATAAATCTCAGCATAATACAAACCTGCTTCTTGGCTAGGATGCTCCAGTTCATCACTGCTTGGCTTCACTTCTGTGCCATTCTCACCTGGCAGAAAACAACAATCATAGAGGGTTATAAACCACATTTCTGATTGTTAAGCAGACAAACTCAGTAGGAACTGCAGCCAACGTAGCAGGCTGATGGCACTACATGTAAGGAACCCAACAAGGAAAGCATAGATAAGCCAAAAATAAAGAGCATCAATCACAGGATCAGATCCAAATGTAGACATTTTTAGAATTGATCTATTAATTGGGCCATGATTAACTTAAATCCTATTGATTCTTGATGTATGACTAAACCAGATTCACCCCCTCTTAATAATGAATATTTAACATTCTTCTTCCCAGTGGAATAGGGAATTGAGGATTCCATAACATTTTATAGAGTTGCCTTCAACCCTAGAAAAGTTGCATAGACAGTCAAAATGCTTTCATAGCCATTAGGATTCTATAGTATGCAGCATAATTTGCACGTGTTTTTAGGACCAATACTGTACACTGTATAAATGTGGAGGACCACTAGATGGCAACATAAAAATAGAGAGGCAGCAAGTCTACTTTATTGCTATGTAGTTGTTGCCTGGAATTTTATTGCCCAGATATAGTAATTATAAGATTTTTATTTTTTATTTGGCTTACGTTCAACAGGATTTTCTATGCATGACTGGGGAGTATTGCAGTTTCCTTCAATTTTATCACCCACTTTAGGCTGCTTTGGAAGTTCCACAATTTTTCTAAATTAAAGTGATGCAGTCATAAAAGATGGAAGCTGAAAACGAGTGAAAACAACTTGAAACACTACAATTAGTAAAAAAATCCCTATATCTTTGATTCCCAAGCTTAAATAATTTCTTTCTGGAAAATGTATTAATGTGACTATATTCTGAAGCAAGAAAAACTAAATGAGGGTTACCAAGCATACAGAAATCTTGCATAAAATCCTCATTATATTTACCTAATTTCATAGCCAGGAGGGAAGTATCTTTTGAAATGGATATATGCTAGCCTTTTACCAAATGAGTTTGATTTTTATTTATTTATTTTTATTTTTATTTTTATTCTGTCCAGGAGAATTGGGTTGAGTTGTCCAATTTTCTTGGATTGTCCAATTATACACATCTCTGCTTTTCTTCTTCCTGAAACAATGCACTGTTTTTTTTCTTTTTAGTCATGTATTTTCTGTTTTGATTTATTCTGACTGCTAACTTTATGATTGTTATAGTAATAATAATGATGGGAATAATTTTATTTCATTCCATTTCAAGGCTGATAAGCTCTTTAACAGCTTCTAATTAAAAAGTGAAGGAAGGAAGGAAGGAAGGAAGGAAGGAAGGAAGGAAGGAAGGAAGGAAGGAAGGAAGGAAGGAAGGAAGGAAGGAAGGAAGTATTTGACTGGCTTCATCATTCCTGTTAACTTTTTTGTTAATCTTCAGGAATGCTTTAAACACCTGGATGGGTCCCTCAGCCACCAGGGTTAAGATATTAGGGGAGCTTTTTCATGGGAGTACATGTTGGTATGCCCTGTTTTATATAGTTCATTTTCTGTTGAGATATTGTGGTTTGTTTTATTTATTTTATTGTTGCACATTACTCAGAGTTGCATTTTTGTGAGTTGGGTGGCCCTACAGCTCTTTAAATAGAGAAAGAAAAAAATAATAATTACTACATCTGCCATGCACTGAATTCCTCCAAATGCTTGACTTATTACAGAAAATGTGTGACAAATTACTTTAGGGCTGTGTGAAGTGGAAAGGCAAATGTAGCCCTGTGGCTAAATTTCACTCACCGCATAATCCTCCCTTCCTCCTACTGACATTCATTTCTCGGTGTTTCAGATCCTAAACATAAAAGTAGCGCTTTGGCCCAATGATGTTTCTCAGAACAGCAACTTTCTAATTTCTGTTATGAATGAGCCAGATTACCTGTTGTCACCTGTTCAGAGCCTTGTGCTGGAAAGACAGTCACACAGTAAAATGGCAGAGTAATTGCTTAAATCATATTGCCAAACTGTTGCATGTTCATAAAAAAAAACCTTTTCTAAAGAGAAAAGAGAAATGGTATAAACTTAATAATTATCAGCCTATCTTTCCCTTCTAGTCCTGCAAGATTGTTATACCTCTCTCTGCTGCTATACAGTTTCTATATAGTTGCAATGTACGCACCCCTTTCTTTTATCTTCCAAGGATCTTAACATCAGAAATGTGCAGAGGAATCTGGCAAAGACTGAGGCAGAGGAAGGAAGGAAAAAGAAAGGATATCTAGACTAAATAAATACTATCTTTGAATACCTTGTTGTAAATCCACTTTTCTTCAGTCTTTTTTTGGATGCTGTTGATTAAAACAGCCAGCAGGTGGAGCTGGTGTAGAGGCATTTATTTTCTTTTAAACCCAGAGGCCCTGCAGCCTTGAGCTTCATTCTTCAGAGATCAGCTTAGGGACAAGATTCTCAACTGGTATAAATCAGTGTCACTGCACCACATTCCAGACAACCATGGTGGGATCCCAGGAATTTTAGCTGGCTTCAACCATTGCATTGCTGATTTTCATTGCCCTCAACAAACAGCAAACTGTACTAATTTCTTAGGACTTCAGAGACCTTTCAATCTCTTGAAGATGCTCTTTGGTAAATTCTTCTACATCTGAAGTGTTATGCAGGAAACAAGCAAAACTCAAATAAAGCCATGTTCTAATGCAAATATTATTCTATTTTGGAGCATTATTCTTACCAGTCAAATGTTGGTCGCATCTTTTGTTGTGTAACAGTATTTTTCAGCAATAGTAATTTAAAGCAGAGTTGAGAGATGTTAATCAATTTATCCATTGTTTTACTGTTGTACTTGTTTCCTTGATTATTTATTTGCTTACTTGATAATTTTATGTATACAGACTGGCTCATAGTTTTACAGCACTGCATTGCCACTACTTCTTCTTCTCCTATTTTATACACCTCCGTTTTATTTTCTTTAGACTGTTTCTCTCAAATAGTATCCAATCATTACCACAGAGATGGGTAAATTTGCAGCCCTCTCCATTAAAAGGTTAAATTCCACCATGATTTGCTGTGAAAATGACACACATTTATGTTCTGTCTAACAGAGGCCATCTTTTAAATAGAAAGGACATTGCTATTTTAATGTTTCCTTCCCTCTGTGTCCCTCAGAACTGACTGGAAGGGATGAACAACACGAATAGCAAATCTGTGTTGTGATAGATTGCGTGTTACTAAGCTTTTTTTAATCTCTATGGTTTGCTAAATCACAGGATTTACACTTGTCCTAAAATGTAACACAAGAAATATACATTGTTTAAAAAGTGGGCTGAATCCTTTAGCTTGCAATCACAAGGTTCTTTACATTTTGCATAAGAAACAGGGGAGAGAATATATTTGTAAACTAATATTGGCAGATGTAAGATGGGGAGGGCCTTATAGAGGCAGCTTTTCTTTTACCACACAAATGTGTGTTTAATTTTAGCAGTACAAGGATTTACCTTAAATCTGTATCTTCTTGCAAAGAATGATGATCTGATCACTCCATAGTCAGGTGATGACTCAACAATCAGGTTATCATTCTTTGCAAGAATATGCAGGAGGGAAGAATAGCTACCTACACTGCGGGAGGGAGGGAGGGAGGGAGGGAGGGAGGAAGGAAGGAAGGAAGGAAGGAAGGAAGACCTTCCCCCTGAACATCCCAGAAAAAAAGTTGTTTTCTTTACAGTTTTCTCCCCTTTAATTCATTCCCGGTGCCTCTTCATGATAATACAAATAAAAGGGACAGAAATAGTTTACTATTCATACTACACTTTTTTATTTATTTTCCAGAGAATTTGCTAGCTAAGGAGTAAAATTTGCACCAAAGTATTTTGGATCATTCACAATGATAGCATATCTTTTGCCAGAAGGATGACTATTGCATTGAAATTAAGATCACCACCACCTTCTGTTTTACTGGAAGTATCCAAAATAGTCAAACGGCAGTCACCATGGAAGACCTGAGGATGGTGGTCTAGTCTACCCCTAACAAAGATTTGATTTGAGCTTGGAATCTTTCAGAATACTAAAAGTGTTTATGGCATGGCCAGCTTGAAATCTTCAGATATCTAGTTCCTAATGTTACCCTGCAAGAAAAGAAAATCAGAAGCTGCAAAGGTAGAATTACAGTAGGAACATGGAATGTAAAAGCATGAACACAGTTGAAAGTTCAACCACACTGAAAAATGAAATGAAACAACTACAAACTGACAGCACACTGAATTGTATGGATTTGGATCAGATACTTTCAATCAGAAGATCTTTATTACTCAAAACTAAGAGGCAACAGCGTTGCTTTTAAATATATATATAGAGAAGATATAGCGAGAGCAGTACTTGGCTACAATGCAATCAATGAATGAATAATACCAATTAGATTTTGTGGACAGCCCTTTAGTATGACAACCATTCAGGTTTATGCTGCAACTAATGTTGATTCAAGAACGTTATAAACAAAAGACCAAACTTGGGGGGGAAAATGGAATATTAGATCTTTTGATATAAGATGCTGGAAATAATTATATAATGAGCACTTTTGTGGGATTCACTTTGTCTACTCTAAGTTAAAAAAGAAATCTGAGATTTTATGATTTCAGGCAGAAAAGGGAACTAAAGATTCCAGGTGCAAAAGGCAAAAGCTAAAGGCCTGTCTCTATAAGATAGAGAAAACAACTAAAGTGGATATACAAGTGACAAGCCAAGAACTGACCTGAATAAGGACTTTTTACTAGACTTACAAAAGAAGTTGGTTACAGCCTTGGAGAAATCTTTGAGATAGAAAAAAAAATGAAGACAAGGAAGAAGAAGAAGAAGAAGAAGAAGAAGAAGAAGAAGAAGAAGAAGAAGAAGAAGAAGAAGAAGAAGAAGAAGAAGAAGAAGAAGAAGAAGAAGAAGAAGAAGAAGAAGAAGAAGAAGAAGAAGAAGAAGAATTGGGTATGTCTAGTTTAATGAAGAGAAGGATGAGGGGGGACATGATAGCAGTGTTCCAATATCTCAGGGGCTGCCACAGAGAA